CCCCCAGCAAAACTGCACCTCCTAAAGGTCCCAACACCTTCCCAAACAGTGCCAGCACCTGGGAACCAAGTGTTCAAACACATGAGCCTGTGGGGACATTTCTCATTCCAGTCACCACGGCTCATAAGATGCTGTTTGTGTCCTGGGCTGTGCAAAGATGCAGAAGAGACGATCCCCAAGCCAGCTGCAGCCTGCTCAGCCACACAGCTTGGAATTCTCTAGAAATGTCACCCAGATCATCCCACAGATTCACACATGCATTGCAGAGAGAACTGCTAAATGACACCAATGACATTTCCTTCTGTAATTCCCCGAACACATCTGCACGTGGTCCTGTAGAACTGCTCACAGCTTAAGCTGGAATGGTCCTTTCTCCTTGGATGTGATTCCCGTGATGTCAGGGATGCTGTCATGAAGCCCCTCAGTCCCTGGTCCCCACATTTACTCTCATGGCTGATTTTGCCCTTCCTGGGCCACCAGGGTCTTCCAACCACTCTCCCAGTGTTGTCCTCTTGGGCTTTTCCTTCTCTCAGCTCTGTGTTGTTCTGCCCACTCCCCATCATCTCATGATGCAAGTGGACAACGCCTATGGCCTCAAATGAAGGAGTGGTGCCAAGACCACCTTCCCATCACACTTCCAGGGAGGGCTGACTCCCTGGACTTGCTTTTGAAGTCACTGACATGATGAGAGCATCTAGATTTTCCCACCACTAATCACAGCATTCAGTCACCCACACACTAACTCTTATAAACAGAAACACATGCATTCCACGTGTTCCTCCTGTCTCCCTCCCGTCTTTACTATCGCCCCCACCCCACCCCGACCCAGACTGGTAGCTCTTCTGTCTTCTTAGAGGCATTGTGTATTCCTGGCTATAAAATTAGAGATGGACTTAATAACCAAGGTAAATGTCTAATGGACAATCACAGTCCTGGTTTTTCTTGCTCCTAGACAGATGGCAGGTCCCACACTGTTCAAGACCAAGGTTCCTTCACCTCTTGACTTCTGTGCCCCCAGCCCATAGAAAAGGCAAAGACATAAGAGGGGCCATGCCTACTGTTTAAAACCTTGGTCCTGAAAGGCATGCCACACTCTGGATGGGGTATGACTTTGTCACTGAGGCCACCTAGACAACAGTGGCAGGACTCTGTGGCACAGAAACAACAGAAATGAAGCCAAGCCACTTACTTCCTCAGCTGGAGCTGTCTGACTCAAGCCAGAAGGAGGCAGCACTGAGCAGAGGTGCTCAGACTGTCAGCACAGGGCCCAGCAAGCCTTCATTGAGCTGGGGGTGAGGCACCCAATGTTTGGTCTTTATCAATGAATTATAGGCATAATTTTAAGCAGTTTTTGTTTTCTCTGACACACAAACATCTTACCCTTGCTCTTGGTGGGCTCTGAGTTATAGCCTCAACCAACACTTTTGTCAATTGATCAGCAGATATGTGCCTGGGGCACAATAGCGTCTGGTCAGAGGATGCAGAATGGTGTAACAGAGAATTCAAACCTCTCGTCCTAACTTTAGTTATCCATCTGGTATTTGCAGGGCTTTGAAAGTTCCTGAGAAGATGCCAAGGCAACTCTTACCATAATCCAATTATTGGGGTACCTTCAAAACAAGTGGGGTTAAGCATGACCTCCCAAGTGAGTGGGTTTTAAGTTAACCACAAACAAGTGAATCTATTGGACAGACTTGGGTCTTCACTCGGCAGCTAGAGCTCCTTGTCTTTATTGGTCATGGCTCTTTACCTCTCTTAGATCCCACATGTTTGAGCTTGTTCTAGTCATGTGTAAGGGGTCCCCACTCTATAAACATTCTATTCTGTGGTCTAGTGTTTATGACAAGGGTGTTGAGAGCCCAGGGAGGGGATCAGAGGTAAACGCACACTGAGCTTTCGACGGTTAATACGGTCAAGTTGACAGGACCTAGAACCAGAGACAAGCCTCTGGAATTTCTGGACTTGGTTAATTGAGACAGAAACATCCACCCTAAATCTGGACAACACCATCTCATGGGCTGGGCTCATAAAAGCAAGAAAGCAGCTAACATGAGACTCCGTAAAAGGGAGTGAGGAAGTAATGTGATCACTCATTCTGGTGACAGTGTGATCAGCTGCTGTAAGCTCCGGCCACCATGCCTTCCCCCACCATGATGGCTGCACACTCAAACTGCAAGCCAAAAAAAAAAAAAAATCCTTTCTCCCTTGAGCTGCTTTTGTGAGGTGTTTTGTCACAGTGGTGCTAAAATAATTAAAAGAGAAGGTAACAAGCTGAGGACCAGAGTTTGTCTGTCTTTGGTCACCTTGCTGTGACCTCTACCCTTCTGAGCCTCCAATACATAGAGGATGGGATCGTTTGCCCTCACCCCAAGGAGTCAGCAATCTCAGAGCATCAACAACTCCTCAGCATTTCCCAGAGGTTCCTCCCTTCACGAGGAACACCTAGAGCTGGAGTAAAGCCAACAAGGCAAAACAGGGGAACGCAGCTTCCAGTAGGGGACTGATTTCATCCACAGTGTATCAAAGTATAAAATACCCAGAAGGCTGTTGAGAGGTAGATAATGTACAAACCCTCTCCTTCCACTTCAGGACTCAGAGAAATAAAGATTCAGAGTGGCCATGCATCACACAGCCTGCCAATGGTCCAGACTTCAGTATGCGTCTGGCCTGCTGGGGTCTCCAGTTTGGAGACAAAGTCTTCCCAGACTGCCATGGTTTGACCTCAGCAATCATCCAGATGGAATCCTATTTAGAAGCCACTGAGGAAAGATGAGCAAAAAGAGCTCAGGGGAAACTGCCCAGGACCAAAAGCATCTGCCTGTATAAAGGCTTTGGCAGGGGACAGGGGTGGGACTTTACACATACGCTCACAAACACACACACACACACACACACACACACACACACACACACACACACACACCCACCTACACCCCTTCCCTACTTCTCCACTCCAGCCCCTGCATCAATTCTGATGCGGGTAGCCAATTTTCTTGCTTGCAAATTGAAGTCTCATTGAGATCAATGATCTAAAAGGACAAAACTGTCAAATCACACGGTAGGCTCTATAGATCGGTGCTTCCTTGGGTAGGAATCGAAAACCAGATCAATGCAATTGATTTTAAAGGTGACTAACCAACCACAAACAAGGTTGATTCGTAAGTTAGGAGGATACCAAGCAAGTGCCAGCCCTGGCTGTTTTCCTATCTAGAAGAGTGGAAGTTTCTCCCTAGACCTCACTTCTCCTTGAACCAAGAGGAAAACTCAGCCACCACTGAGCAAATGCCTAGCTCAACTGAAGGACCAGAGTGAAAGCCTGGGGGAAGAAACTGCTCATAAAACTTTCAGCAGCTCTGAAATCACTGGCTAAACAAGTCATTGAAGATAGTGGTTTCCATGCATTTAATAGCAGAGCCCTTTCTAAAATTCCCTTTGCACTCGGCAACTAAGAGAGTTTTCCTAATGCGCTGTTAACTGGTACATTCTTCACAAAGGCCATCAGAAAGAAATAACTCCACATGCCAAGGTACAGATGCTCGAAGCCGGAGCAGAAAGCGAACCAAATGTGTGAGTACACAAACAGAGAACATTCCTCCACACTTCTTTTTAACCTTGGCATTGAATCAACCATTAAAGTAGAAGGCGTGCTCCCTTCCCAGAAAAGTGTTTAAGCCCTGAGATTTGAGCCGAACGTTAAAGAACTTGTTCAGAACTCTTGCCCTAAATATAAAGAGCAACAAAGATGCAGTTTGTTTTAACAGAATGTTTAACAACATGCCATGTAGGCCGTGTCACCTGTGAGGGTTTATTTCCTCTTATAACAATCCCATGGGTTGGTCCAATGCGAATTTTGCAAATGGAGAAATTGAAGATGTGAATTTAGATAGTGTATTTGTCAGTTCAAGCTGCTGTAACCGACAGTAGATATTCGTTGTCTTCCTGTTATGTTGTGGAAGCCAGAAGCCAAGCTGTCTGCAGGACTGGTTTCTGGATCTCTCTCTCTCTCTCTCTCTCTCTCTCTCTCTCTCTCTCTCTCTCTCACAGGCCTTCCACTTGTCCATTGCATTCTGGTGTGTCATCTTCTAAAGGCATGGGTTGCATTATATCAAGCCCTACTCAAACTGTAATCATCTCCTCAAAGGCTTGTATTCATAGCTTTTCTCATAACTGCTGCAGAAAACACCTGAGGAAGGCAACTTAAGGAAGGAAGTTTCTTTTTGGCTCAAAGTGTGAATGCATGGTGGCAGGAATGTGAGGCAGTTGGTGACATTGTATACCACTCAGAAAGCAGAAGGAGACAAATGCTGACACTTGCTTTCTCCCTATCATTCCGGGAGGTGACAATGATGCCCACATTCAGGGCAGATCTTGGCTCCTCGGTTGAATCTTTCTGGAAACATCCTCGTAGACATACCCAGAGGTGTGTTTCCATAATAATTCTAAATCCAACCAAACTGACAAGATTAACTATCAGATGCTCCAATCCCTCAATGCAGTCATACCTAAGGTTCAAGCATCACCTGTGTCTAGAGACATCACCATTCAATTCATAAAAGCCGGTGGACATTCATACCGGTGAGTGACAAAGCCAGGACTGTAGGAATCCCAAGACACCTTCTATAAGGAGCCTGCTGCCTCTCCCATGCTTCAACATCTTAGGTAGGATCAGGAGACATCCCATCATGGGAGTGGGCTCAGTGGGAGCTCCCAGCAGAGAGCCAGTGTCACAGGACTGAGCTTCATCATGGTGTGCTGGGTGGCAAAGGACTTATGTGTGCTAGATCTTAGGACACAGACGTGCAAGTCAACCAAGGACCTGTCCAGAAGGGGTTGGTTGAATGAAAATAGTTCTGCTAACCTAGTTTGTAAGCGCAAAAGTGGTATTTGGGTTTCCTGCCGTAGATAGTGTGTGATTACATTAGCAAAAAAAAACAACAAAAAAATAAAACAGCATTTCATCTGAACTCTCTTTTCTTTTCTTCAAACTGCCAGCAAATGTCCTGGAAGGCGATTCTATGGACCAGGACGTGGAAAGCCCAGTGGCCATTCACCAGCCAAAGTTGCCTAAGCAGGCCAGGGATGACCTGCCAAGACACATCAGCCGAGACAGGACAAAACGGAAAATCCAGAGGTACGTGAGGAAGGATGGGAAGTGTAACGTCCACCACGGCAACGTGAGGGAGACCTACAGATACCTGACAGACATCTTCACCACTCTCGTGGACCTCAAGTGGAGATTCAACCTGTTGATCTTCGTCATGGTCTACACGGTGACTTGGCTCTTCTTTGGGATGATCTGGTGGCTAATTGCGTACATCCGGGGAGATATGGACCACATAGAGGACCCCTCGTGGACTTCCTGTGTCACAAACCTCAATGGGTTTGTCTCTGCTTTTTTATTCTCAATAGAGACGGAAACCACCATCGGTTATGGCTACCGGGTCATCACGGACAAATGCCCCGAGGGAATTATTCTCCTCTTAATCCAGTCTGTGTTGGGGTCCATTGTCAATGCATTCATGGTGGGGTGTATGTTTGTGAAAATATCCCAGCCCAAGAAGAGGGCAGAGACCCTGGTGTTTTCCACCCACGCCGTGATCTCCATGCGGGATGGGAAGCTGTGCCTGATGTTCCGGGTTGGGGACCTGAGGAACTCCCACATTGTGGAGGCTTCCATCAGAGCCAAGCTGATCAAGTCCAAGCAGACTTCAGAGGGGGAGTTCATCCCCCTCAACCAGACGGACATCAACGTAGGGTACTACACCGGGGACGACCGTCTCTTTCTAGTATCGCCATTGATTATCAGTCATGAGATTAACCAACAGAGCCCCTTCTGGGAGATCTCCAAAGCCCAGCTACCCAAAGAGGAACTGGAGATTGTGGTTATCCTGGAGGGGATGGTGGAAGCCACAGGTGAGATGGGCTCCGTCCTGTTAGAGATGCACTCGGGTGAACCCCTGGATGTGAGGTGCCAGGCCTGTGTGTCCTATAACCTTAGGTGCATGCTCTAAGACGCCTAGCCATTTCACTTCTCAAGTTTCCTAATTTTACCATTTTCTACTTTTATTTTATGTGTAGGAGTGTTTTGCCTGCATGTATGCATGTGCGCCATGTACATGCCTGGTGCCCATGGAAGCCAGAAGAGGGCGCCAGATTCCCTATAACTGGAGTTGCAAAACAGTTTTGCGTCTCCATGTAGTCTCTGGGGAACTGAACTAGGGTCCTCTGCAAGAGCAGCCAGTGCCCCTAACTGCTGGGCCATCTCTCTAGCCCCTGTTCACCTTATTTAAAGTCATTTAGAGAGCAAATTAATGATTTTTAATGTATTTTAAGTTTCTAAATACTTAATGAAATTAGATTTCGATCCGCGTCTAAAGCTTATTTTGCATGATTTTAGAGCATTTCTCATTTAAATATTTGCAGCTATTTGTTGGCAAGCCAGAGGGGAAGAATTAGACCTTTAAGAAAAAAGGAGTCAGGAGAAAATGACTTAACAAAACTGCTGTTTTTGCCCCTCCTTTGGCCATCATTCATAAAACCCATAGATTGTTCTCTTTACCCTTGTGTTAAGTGTGTCTCCACACTTAGCCTACCCAGATCTCAGCAGAAGTCATACCAAAGAAATAAAGATTTGTTCCTCATAATCCTACAGACTTTTCATTGTCAACAATAATGGTGAGTCTGTCGGAAGAGAGGTGGCCTGTTCTCAGGGTTTGGGAAACTCTGCTTCTGCTCATCTTTGCTCACACCTGAATTTCTCTCATGCCCCACGCTCTGAGAGCAAAGTGGGTTCTACCCGTATTTACTGATCGTGTGCTACAAGTCAAAAGCCTGAGCAGAGCTTCAGACCTCCCAGAAGTATGCCAATCCAATCCCGTTCGCCAGTTCCTCATAGTTCTGAGTCCTTGCTACGAAGGCTGCCCCCCCACCCCCGCTTTTTCCACAATCTGTCCCATGTTCAGAAGCCTCCAGCTTGAGACTCTGGGTTGGTCTGTGTCATGGGAAAATGTATACTCTGTGAGTTGGGCCAAGTGTTTATTAACCTGGCATCCTTTTCCAAAGGAAAGCCCTCCCCAGTCCCTTGCTTCTGTCTCCACACACCAACGGTAGGCAATGTCACAATTCCTATCAAGTAGTTTTTACAGGGCAGAGGGAATAAGTTTTTAAATTTCTGCAAACTGAAATGTCTTCGACCCAGCACTTTCCTTCCCACAGAACAAAAGGATTTTTAAAGACTAACAGTATACACTTGGCCTTCCGTATCTAAGGAACCCATATTCACGGATTCCACCAACCGTGGATCCAACACGTTTTTAAAAGCATCTGGTCCTGAATGCCTTCCTGTCTCTTACCATTATTTCCTAAATAATACAGTATAAATATTTGTGTAACGTGTGAATTGTATTAGGTTTTATAAGCAGTCTAAAGTGTGGATGAGCACTGTCTATGGAAACACAACCGTTTTGTAAGAGGGACTTTACATTTGAAGATCTGGGTATCTTTGTGGGGTCCTGGAGTCAATTCCCTCTGGATATGAGATGCAGCTTGGTGTTTTTCTCACATCTACAGAGCCAGGCACAGGGCTGTATGTTTGGGGTGCAAAAAGGAGTCAGGGGTTGCCTCTCTCACAGGGGAGCAGCTCCAGCCAGCACTGGGATGGGAGAGACTATCGCCCACTTCTGAGTCACAGGCTCTCAGTTCCTAAAAGACTTCAGGCTGTATTTTGGACTGGAACATTGGCTGGGTGTTGTGAAACTCTTAACTAGGAACTGCAGATAGCAGCAGGTCTATTGGCGCCTTGCTTGTGAGTTTTTTTTTTTTGTTTTTTTTTTTTTTTTATGTTCTCCCGAAGTGATAATTGATTGGGGCAGTGGGGAAAGGGAGAAGAGAAAGGGGAGGAGAAAAGAGGAAAAGGAAAGAAAGAAAGAAAGAAAGAAAGAAGGAAGGAAGGAAGGAGAGGGAGTGGAGGAGGGAGAGCAGGAGGGGAACAGGAGAGAAGAGGAGGGAGAGAATGGAGTAGAAGACGAGAAGGGGAAGAAAATGACAGTAAGGAAAGAAACGAGAGGGGACAAAGTGCCCCTTGAATGGGGAACTCTGTCACTTTCAGACCGACCTGGACGTCTCCACCCTGGCAGTGCACAGGGAAGGAATCCCCAGTGGTGTCTGCAGTGACAGCCTCCTACAGCATGTGCTGCCCATTCCAGAAGCTCAGTCCCCCTGGACACACTAGAGGGCAGTCCGTAGGGGAATCTTCCATTCCTGGTCTGTGTACAGAGAATCCAAGCCTCTGACTCCGATGCTAGCCAGCTCCAACAACAGCAGCCAAGCTCTACCCTCCCTCCAACCAAAGCCCAGCCTCAAGTTATAAATGAATCTGAGCAAGAAAATCATGTTTGCACTGTCCCCAGGGCAGACCTTGTCTCTCTGATGACAACCTGTGTGGAGCAAGACTATCTACAGCGAGAAACATCCTTTTTACGATAATTAACAGTGATGGTCGCCTAGGAGCATTCTTGCCTTTCTGAGAGTTCTTAGCCATACCTAGGTAGTTGCCAGCAAAAAGAACCAAACTCTCTACCACTCCTGAGGAAACACAACCACTACTGATTTTCTTTTAAAATATTTTAATATATTATACAATAGATGTATATTTTATGTGTGTATATATGTGTATGTATGTACATATACATACATACACATACATACATGCATACATACATACTCCTAACTTCCAGTTAGTAGAGGAAGGATATTCCAGAACATTCTGGGAGTGTTTAGAAGCTGGACATACGTGCCTTGGTCCTTTCCATGTGGGT